TTATCGAAATGGGAGTGTAGACATCGAAATTTTAATATTTATTAATTAATGTCTTTATTTATTTTTTGGACATAAATACATGATAAATAAGATATATAATTAATAATGTTATTATTTCTTGTCCACCAAGTCAAATCTTAAGATTAGGAAAGAGATTATATCAAATCCTAGGATAAGGAAAAAATTATATCAAATCAAGAAAGACAAATCAAATTGATGTCTTCTTCTCCAATACTCTCTCTCATATACCTATAAATAGGGTTCTCCTCAAAGTCACAAATCACACCCAAGACACCTAAAAAATCAAACACACCTCATACATCAAAATCTCAAGTTCAAGAGCTCTGAATAATTATCTTGAAGATCCAAAGGTGTTTTTGAAGATCCAAGGTCATTCAAGTTGAAGATCGGTGTTCAACCCGCAACCAAGTCCATTCAATAAAGAAGAAGGCCAAGAAGAAGAAAACGAGGCGGCTGCTCTTCCCCAAGAAGTAAAGAGACGACTTCCACTCCTCTCATCAATCCAAGAATATCAACGACATTCAAGCCGCGTTCGTCGAAAAGTTCAGCCAACATAGCTTCTGATCCGAGAAAAAGCTATCAAGCCCTCGAGTCAATGTTATTCAAGTCAAAATACGCCTTTCAAGAATATCAAATAAATAAGTCCTCCAAGAAGTCTTCTTCAATCAAGTCAAGTCCAAACATTTAATATGGAACAAGTCACTCGACCCCCAAATTAATACTAGGAAAATTTAAAATCAAGCCCAAAGAAGATCTAAGTCCAAATCCGACTTCGCAGATCCAATCCAAATTCAAGAAGAGAAGAATCAGAGAAGATAATAGAGATTGTACCCGCAATATCATTCGAATGAAATATATATATTCAAGTTATACAAAAGTTTTATGTTTTTCCATAAAATTTGTTGTTACAGGGAGTTACGACCCATTCCATGTAATGTACCACTAGGATGAATCTATTGTCGATCAATTGTGACACCTCTTTTTCCAAAGATTGTTGACGATCCAATTCCAACTTCCGTCTCTTGTGGATCACCAACTTAATAGTTTTGTTGAGTTTAAGCCGATGACAAGCAGCATCAGTTTCGATCTTCTTATTCTCATGGGTCCATGTAAAAATGCCAAGATTGTTATGTAGGAATTCATTTAGATGGGATAGATATGACTCTTCAAAATTTTCTCCGATGCATAGGTGTTCTGTGGTAAACCGTTCGCCCATAAAGATGAGTTGTATCTCTTCAACAGGGTGAACTCAATCTGAACACCTTACCTTAAGAGGGAGATAAGGATCCAAATCGTCAAATGGCTAGACAAGCACTTTCTCAGGTCGGCGTCCTCGGTCTTGTATCAGATCGAGCTCATCTTCGGTAGGGTCATTCAACGAACCCTCATGGTTTGGGGGGAGGCTCTCTCCATTTTGGAGAGCATAAATTTCTTTTGCGGTGATAGATTGATCGCCACAATGAATCTCTTCTCCATTTGGAGTTGGAAATTTTAAGGCGTAATGGAAAATAGAGAGTACAACTTTGAGATTGTACAAGTCAGCCCACCCCATAATGGCATTATACTCGCTTTCGCGATCAATGATCTTGAAAGTCTCCAATATTGTCTTGAATGTTGATTCCCTTCCACCAAACTGATCGGCAACATTATCTCTCCAAGAAGAATAGTAATCTTATCATAAACCTGTGAACTTGGTCGTTGCAAATTCGCACCTCATGGATGTCAATACTCATTCGGTTGAGGGTGTTTAAATAAATGTACCTAGCATATTCCGCAGTTTCCACCATAATACGGTAAATATGAATATTATAAATAAGGGCGGCTATGACTAGTGCATCAGAATGCGGGTGGCAGATCTAAGCGGTATCTCGATCTGAATAGGAGACGAAATTCACCGCATTTCCTTCTGCTAGTCCATATTTCACCAACATGTTTCTTGATCAATGTTTTATTCTTGGCGGGCATAAGCCCCTGTTTCTGGCGCAATTGGTTTGACTCCAACCTGTTAGTATTAGCAAGTTGAGTCGGTTGTCGATCTCTTGAGTAATATTGGATTTGAGGACGTCGTTGTCCTACTGGCACCGAACGATATTCTTGATGGGATCAAAATTAGCCGGCTTCGTTGGGGTTTGTGTTTTGAAGTACTGCCGCCATCACAATAAGACCGACGCTTCGACGAACAAGCTTCATCTTGATGAGAAGAATCAAAAGCAAGGATTTTTCTTGGAGGATTTCTGTGTCGTTTAGTCGGGACTAGAATATCTTCATCAGAGGGGAGATCGTTATTATTATTATTATTATTATAGCCCGCATAGTCCGTTTAGGCCGAACCCGCTAGGGTTAGGGTTAGGATCTTTTATCGGTAGCTCGTTTAAATCTAGGTTTTTTAGTCCTGGACCGTTTAGCTCGAAGCCCGTTAGGGCTAGCCCGAAACTGCTAAGACTAGCCCGTTTATCATCTCTATCTATTAACAAATTTCTCACTCTCTCTCTCTCTCTCTCTCTCTCTCTCTCTCTCTCTATATATATATATATATATATATATATATATATATATATAGCTGATAAGCTAGCTTATAGCTTATTAGTAAATTTCGAGCTTATAGTTTATGACTTATAGCTGAAAAACTAGCTTATATGATAAAAGTGTTTGGTAAAATTAGCTGATAAGCTAGCTGAAATAAAAAAATTCAACCAACTTATTTGAAAAGATACCCAATGAAGCTTATGAAATAAGTTCGAACTTTTTGAAAAAGCTCGTCCCACCAAACGAAGCTTATTTAAATGCAGGAAGCTTATAAACTAATCAAATAAGCTATAAGCTAGCTTATTTGTCTACCAAACACAACCATATCTCTTCTACTCACTTCTCCTTCCCCAATCTCTCCTTCTTCATGAAGAAATCTCATACTTTATAGGCTATGTTTGGTAAAACTAACTGATAAGCTAGCTGATAGCTGATAAGCTAGCTTATAGCTTATTAGTAATTTTTTAACTTATTGCTTATAGCTTATGACTTATAGCTGAAAAGCTAGTTTATATGATAAAAGTGTTGGGTGAAATTAGTTGATAAGCTAGCTGAAATAAAAAAATTCAACTAGCTTATTTGAAAAGCTACCTAAAAATGTTTATCAAATAAGCTTGAGTTTTTTAAAAAAGCTCGTCTTACCAAACGAGGCTTATTTAAATACAAGGAGCTTATAAGCTAACCAAATAAACTATAAGCTAACTTATTTGTCTACCAAACATAGCCATAATAATATTATAATCTAGCTTATCACTATTAATATTTAATACTCCAACGATTACTTAACAATAAATTACAAAAGTTATCTACAAATTCATTACATGTGAATTAGAAAAACTATATAATATAAGATGGACAAATCATAAAATTAAAAAGTCTCATTTTTAATATAAATATTAATAAAAAAAATTAAAAAGTATATAAAATTCAAATAAAAAAACGGCTCTTACAGTTTTTGAAAATTTCAGTATAATTTTTTCAATTACCTGGAATGTGCTAGTTATTAATTAAATCAGTATGTTTGACTTATTATCTCATCTTACCTGCTTGTACACACAAAATTCCTCTTGCTTCTAAGATACTGTCGACCAAACCAGATCTTGTACATACAAAAAAATCATTTTTGCCTCTTAGCATACTATTGACCAAACCAGATCTTGTAGGTACAAACAAATCATTTGCCTGTTAGCATCTAATTAATTTTTCATTGCCATCTTCCAGTGACCCAGAAATGGTCCTTCCATATTCTTAGAACAAAACATATGCACAAAGATTCAATGTCCACTGAACTCATGTTAAGTCATGGCAAGCGAACTAGTGCTCACGCATGCAAATTGTCAGACAAGCTTCAATGGTAACCATAAATCGGAACAAAAACATCCCAATTCCACAATGCACAACCAAATCACAGTCGAAACCATTCGACATCATAAACAAAAACGATTACTGCATGTTAATCACTAACCATTGGAAGATAATTTATTCCACTTTGAGAAGTTCCGTGTGTCCACACTTCTAAACAAAAGTTAACTGGATGCAATGTTATACCCTAGCAATAGAGAGCTACTTTTTGCCTAATCCTTAAGATCAAAACTCATCAAAATTCATTTCCACCCCCACAATTCGGGCCGCGGATCATTGTAGTTTTATACACACCAAGCACACAACATTCAGTTAGTGGAAGTATGTGATGTGATGNATATCCGTCAAAGAAAGGTGGGCCATAATAGGCGCCCGTCCATTGGTTTCCAAAATCAGCTCTCGACTGCAAATGAGCAAAAAAACAGTAATTGAGTAAGAATGTGTTTGCAAAGACCTCGTGTTCTATAAGTGATTGATTTATCTAACCATTGGTAATCAAAAGTTTTTGCAAATACAAGTCGAGCGTTAATTAGTCAACCGAGTGTGCTCGACTAACAAGTTGTGCAAGCGCTTTCATGATAAAAGTCAACGAAGAAGTCCCATATTCTGATTATAAATTATGCAGAATGAAAATTTTCTATCACCAAAAATATGGCAGTCTTATTCATTCCTTTTCTAGTGGTTACCAGTAAGCTTGTTAAAACCAACATAATTGAAACAAAGAAAAAGCAGAAAGAATATTTGCCTGTTTGTTAGCCGGACTGCGTCCCCAAGAAAGTCGAACAGTTTGCTTTCCAATAGTTGTACCACTTAAATGATGCAAGGCATCCGCGGCATCATTTCTGTCAAAAAATTGTTTTGGTTTAATCACATTGTTATTATATATTAATACCTTGTACTGGAACAATAGAGGGTAACCATTTTTTGAAAAATAAATTATTTACCTGTTAGCAAATTGAACAAAACCACATCCTTTTCTAACTGGTATCTTGACTGACAGTATTTCACCATATTGCGAGAAAGGCTGCCTGAGATCCTCTTCAGTAGCATTAGGGTCAAGTCCTCCAACAAAAATCTAAGAAAAATTCAGTTTAGTCGAATGGACAACATAAAGCAATATCAGAAAAGAAAATAAACAGACTGAATAACCGACTGTTGCATTCACAGAATCTCCATCACCCAGTGCCGAGAAACCATTCGAATATCCACCTATGGGAAACAAATTTTATAGAAAATTAACACAAAAACCTCGACTTAAACAACTAATGCATCATCAATATAAATTCTCAACAGGTACAAAACTATGGAGTATTCTCACTTTAAGAAGTATTAACAAAAAGAAGAAGAATGAGCTTTACGCAATTCACATAGTTTCACAGACAACTAACTAACACAAGCACTTTATAACTTCTGTTTTGTCTCAACCAGGCCTTATATCTACTTCCATTTCTCAACTAGGAGGCCTTGACCGCAAGCCCAGAATAAAAAACAGAAGAACACATTCCAAATCCCAATCCACGAACTGGAAATAACATTCCATTTCCCGATTTTTAGCAAGACAAAAAATACATTACATTATTCAAACATAACTTCCCACAGACAAACACAAGAACACAACATTAAATTCCAAATTTCACCAGCATGCCCAATTACTATTATTATTATTATTATACTTTTAACCCTTTTTTCTTCGTGGTCTCTGTTTTGTTCTCAATTTTTTCGTCAGTTTTGAACCATGGAGCTCACCATGAGCCTTGATTCAAGAACATAAAACATAATCTGG